GGAAATTCACACCAAGGGCGACGACCTATTTGTGGCCTAGACGGCCAGCGACCGAAACTCGATCGACGGCAGAAATTGGTGGTCGGGAACTGACATGTTCCGCACGCCCTGCAGGCACCCGTAGAAACCCCGCTTCGGGGCTCCGCAAGAGCAAACGCCAATAGCGCCGGAAGCATCTTGGCTCACGGCTTAGTGACATGCGTCCTTGAAATGGTATACTGCTGTGGACACACACACACACACATCTGTCTGTAATCCGGAGAGTAGCATAGCCTACCCCTGACGGGGTCCCAGACCGTGGCCTTTTGAAGCCTTTTGTGTTTTCAACGGCACTGACGTATATTCTTTGGTCAGCCGGTTAGCGCTGTCGGTGCCAACAAAAAAACACACACACACAAAACGAAGGAAGCTCGGGGTCAGCGTACCTCGCCTCTTCGAAGCCAGCCCCTACCCCATGCAGCTGCAGCAGGAGGTGCCCCAGCGACAGAAGGCTTGCAGCCGCACCGACCCTGCCGGCCACCCCGAGGCTTCGCCAGGCCGTCAGAGACTGTTCCGCGGCCAACCTAGAAAACCCACAGCCCAGCACGTGAGAAAAAACGCCGATGAAGTACGGGGAGTGAGAATCAACACGGCGTCCAACCTGACGGCAACCATCATCAATCGCTGCGGAAGTCTACACATCTCGGTAGGTCGATATTTTACGCGTGACCTGACGGGTGGTTGTGCAGATGAACACCGGCTTGCAGGGTGTGCGTCAGAGGCGCACACGATCATTGTAGGGCTGGCTTTTCCGCATTCTCAACCTAGCGCCAAGAGAGCGACTGCTTGTTCCACAGCCCCAAGAAGAGAAGTTGACGAAATGCACACGACACAGGCGGCACGCACCAAGTGACAAAGCCTTAACACTCCCCCCGAAAGCCAGGGGCTCCCTGCCCTCTGCGAGACGCACCTGGCACGTTCCCAGCGTTTCTCGCGACCGTAGGCCTCCGAAAGCGTGTCGAGGACTTTGGCCGTCTGCTTCCTCACGTCCGCTTCCCCGCGGCTCTCTCCGACCGCAGAGTAAACCCCGGCCAGGCCGCCTTTTTGGCCTGGCCCCGCCGTCGCCATTGCCACCGTTTCAGCCTTGAGCATTTCATGGGCTCTTTTGAGCACATCGATGGCTTCGTCTGCTTCCTTGGAACTCCCTGCTTCCCCTGAGTCTGCGACTATAGGCCCTTTGTCGTCGCAAGAAAAGCCTGGCGCCGGGACTGTCACTTTCTCTGCTCCTCCCTTCATGACGCCGGGGGTGACGCCACCACTACTGGTGGTGGTGGTGCTGCTGCCGTTGCTGCCGTAATTGGCGCTCGGTTGCACCTCTGGGGCCAGAAGCGATGTTCCTAAGAAAGCCAGCGTTCCGGTAAGGGTGCGCGTCAGGGCCGTAATCCTGCCCTCGGTGATCGAGGGCGTTGGTGGAGAGCTCCTGGCATTCGTGCCGGCGCTGCTGAACATTCGTGAGACGACGGCGTGCATCGGAGCCGGTTGACGAGGGGGGCAGAAGGCAGCACAGGATAGCGTGGTAAGTTGCGTGGAATCTGTCGACGGCGACACGCGACCGAGCAAAGAAGATGTACGACGTGGCGCTTGTTTACCCCAAATTTCGCGGGGGTTCTTCCTGTGCATTGACCGACCATAGGGCGAATCCCTCTCGAGAATTGAGCCGGAAACTCGAACCTGTTTGCCACGCCACCCTCATTTGCCGACACTCCCGCAATTGCTTCATCGAGCACTGCCACGGCCTCTCGAAGCGGCTCCAGGGCGTCGGCGTGCTTGCTGTTGAGACACAGAAGCGGAGGCGGCACGGCATGAGTGGTAGGAAAGCAAACGGATGAAAAGCGCAGCAAGAGACGGGGGACGAGGGGCCACTGTAGAGTTTCCTGCGTGGTTGGGACAGAACGTAGCGAGCTGCGTAATGGCACCACGAGCGGAGGGCTTCGAGGCGCGTTGGTCGTAGTAACCCGAAGCCACAGAGAAGTGCCGATTAGGGCAAATGTGTACCCAGTAGCTGTGCTAGTTCAAACAGCACCCGACTGAGCATGGTTCTCTATCGAGACGGCCACCCGGCACGCCGAAAACCCCTGCGAGCCCCCAACATTTCCGATGAACGGCCACCATATATGCCAAAGGCTTCGCTGTTTCGCTCACCCTCGCTGAGCGAGCAAGCTTCCAAGAGCGGCGAGGGTCAACCCCTCTTCCTCCACCGCACCACCACCACCTCCGTCCACCCTGCCACCGCCTCCTCCAACCCTCAAGTCCCTCAACGCGGTCCTCAGCAGCATCTCCGCCGACGGGGGGTCCCCCGCCATGGCGACGGCAATGCCCTCCAAGCGCAGGTTTCGGGAGAGCGCCACCGTCGTCGCAACAGCGCCTTCGCCGGCCTCTGCGCCGGCGGCATCTTTTCGACGGCGGGCCCGAGAAGCGGCGTCCCGAAAGCTCTTCGCCGCCTCGCGGCCGCGCCCTTGCCGCAGATGCTCTGCGCGCGATTGGGGGCGCACGAAACGGAGAACAAAAACACGCGGGTGTGTGTTACGAAAGCCCTCCTTGTTCTGTGTCCCAAAAACACGTTTTTTCGTAGCAACGTCGTTCGTTTACAGCAGTCTTTCCAAAACCACGGTCCTGGTTCTCATCCGTACTGTAGAGCGACTCGCCAAACGAAGGGGGGGTGAGGTATTGCGCTAGGGTAGAAGAGTCGGCAGAGATTTCGAGACCATGGTGCAAACAATCGCAAGCGCTACAGCAGCCGGCCCGGCGGTCGCGCGAGCGGCACGGCAACTGTCACCTCGGTGGGGGGGTGCGACGAAACATCAATACCAAGATAAGAAGGGATATCGCATCAGGCGCATCCAGACCCAAGGATCAATCTGATGAAACTAGCCATATGTCTCATCGACGGGTTCCCATTCAGAGTACTGTTTGGTTTCTGGGAGGTAATCTTAGCGAATAATGCCGGTAGCAGTAACAACCAGAGCTACGCTCGATGTATACAGATGCTGTCGGAATACTGGCAGCGAGAGCGTCCCACCTCTTCCTTCGGCCTCGGGGTCTGGGCAGGACGACATGGCCGCCCCCGCCTCTGCTTCCAGAAGCAAGGCTCTGGCCTCGTCGCCGCTTGATGTGCCTGCCGCGAGCGAGCTCCTGAGATCAGAGCACGCCCCGTCGAAAAGCCCCAGCCGAAACCTGCGGTGGAGGAGGGGAGCGGGAGTCGGGGGTTGGTTTCCTTACAGAGCAAAAAAACAAAAAAAAGTACTGCGTGTGCCGGAAAAGCCCAAGGGCGATTTTTCTCTCCGCGTGACCGCAAAAGAGCAACAGCGGGCTAACACCACGTCGCCGTTGTAGATACGATTCTTCGGAAGAATGGGATGAAAGGCACACCGAGTCAATCGACCCCGCCGACAACTTCACGCCTTGATGCACCATCTGGTCCATCCCCTTCGCCCTGATTCGACGGTGCAGACACGCAGAAGGCCGTTGGCAGCAGACAGCGGCAAGACTTTCACCTCGCGAAACCCCTGAAATGGAGAGCTCTGGTGCGCGCCTCGGCGCCACCGTACGCCTTAGTCCCGCCCCTGGGCGTCGCGCTAGCCAGGAGCCGCGAGCAGCGCGCTTCCGCCTCTTTGAACTTCTTGAGGCTGATGAAACCCGAGGCCTGGTTGAGGAGGGCTCCGCAGGTCATCTCCACCGCTGCTTCATCTGCATCAAAAGAGCGTTTTCATGTGTGGGTTAAAAGCGTATGGTCAGCACAACAGATGTATTGTACCTTTGTAGCAAAGCGGTTCGATTGCGTTGCACCTCACAGCGGCAGGGCTGTCCTTCAGTAGATTTTCTCGTGCTTGGCCCCTCACCACACAACAGAGCGAGGAAATGGTCGCAAGGCGAAGGGAAGTGAACGTGATGTAAAACGAGTACTTACTACCGTAGATCGCGGGAAACTGGGCGCCGGAGACGGGGTTGTAGGGTTGAAACAACGCCAATACGGTTTATGTATGTAGCAGTGTGTACCTTTACGACCTTCCAGGACCCGTAGCTGGGCGTCGTACGCCGCTATCGCCTTGGACACATCGCCAAGTTCGTACGCAGAATTGCCCTGGAGCCTGAGGGTATCAAGGCAGCAAGGTCACAGCAGAGGCAAGGAGATGAGAGTCACACACCGCCTGTTGGTTGGTTGGTTGGTTGCCCTTGGTGTATTTCGCCGGTGATGTGAGCTGGCATGCTGGGTGTTTCCCCGCATCGATGTTGTCCCGCAACTTGCTTGTCCGCGTGCCTACTACGTTTTTATTGAGAGAAAGGTGCCGAAGTGCTCCGGTACTCCTAAATAGCCACGTGTAGCACAGGCGCACAGCGCCATTCCGGATAGAACGGAAGCGGACCTTGGGTGTGAAACCTGGCTTGAGTGGTTCAAAGAACAAGACCGTTGAACTCGGTGGCCGCAGGATCTCCATATCAAGTCAGTAGGCAGAAATGCCATACCCAACCACCACGTGTCTCGCTATAAGTCACGGTGCTGTATGCCACCGTCAACTTCTCCAACTTTGCATCTGTGTGGTGTTGAAAGCATGGAAGAAGCACCCTGTACCTCAGGGCCTCTGCCTGGTCCAGCTGGCGCTTGTCGTCTGCGGCCTTCCGGGCCGACGGTGGCTGCTGCTTCGTTTTGGCCGCCGCCGCTGCACCATCGGAGCCAGAGCCAGAGTCGTCGGAATCGAGGTTGTCCCACTTGCTGTAGTCGACCATGGCTTCGATTGGGCTATAAGTTGCTCCACATGTACCGCCTGCCGCACCTTGTTTGCACAGCCAGCAGGCACAAGGCAGGGAACAAGAGCACCGGGCCGGTCACTGCCTCTGGAGACCTACAGCAGGGTAGTCCGGTTAGCGGGGCCCCCACGCCTTGTTGTGGTTTAGCCCGCCTCCCGCCGCCTAGCAAACAATCCTACCAGAGAGGAGGTGGGCCTTGTCGTACCCGCACAAAGGGCCTTGGTAGTACCGAAGGGCGTGATGATGTATAACGCGATCGCCAAGTGCGGGGTGCTCAAGAAGAAGTCGGGCATGCTCCGAAGAAAAGAGTCGCGGTGAGAGCGGAGGAAATAGCGCAGCCTACCTACAACCTTGCTTGCTGCTCCGCCATTTGTATGTAGCATACGCTGCTGTGCTACGTATTGTTGACAAAGCCGGGATTGGTGCACGGCTGCTGGTAAACCTCTGACGAAGCGTGTGGGCATGCAATGGACCAAGTGGAGTGGGTTAGGATCAGATACAATAGCTGCTGTTTCAGTGGCTTTGCAGAATGTTCCTTGCACTGCTCCCGGGAACGGCTGTTTCCGTGGCGAGTTTGCCCACCCGACGTGTTTGCAGCAGCAGTCCCGCCACCCCACCCTTCATGGTTTGGAGTCTGGAGTGGTAACGAGTGACCCTCAATACTGGTTTACCCCTCAAGTAGTTCTGCGTCCGCACAAGGGAGGGATAATATTTGTCTAAAGATTGAACCCCCTTCATGCATCAGGCAAAGCGCTGCTGCTGCTGCTGCTGCTGCTGCTGCTGCTGCTGCCCGCCATTGTATGCGTACCAGGAATAGCCATGCCCCCCCCCGCCAGCATCACAGCAGCTTGTGTGTGTGTTTGCGCCGTTTCACTGCTGTGAGCTTCATGTTGCCATGAACGTATCGGCCGTAGAAGAAGGAACCACTCATGCTTGGGCCATATCGTTGGAGAAATAATTTAGACTAATGCATTTTAAGCATTGTAGTCTATGCGTTCGAGGTCTGTATTTTTGTTCTCCCCCCTCCGTCTGAATCCCCCCGCTCTTGATGCCGTACAAATACTATACTCGGACCATCATGGGGACGCACAGAATACTTTGGTGCTGTTGCGAACTTTCCTCCCCAAGACGATAAAATAAACACAGAAACACAATAAGCCTCTGATTAGATGATGCGCGCAGTTCTACACCTGGGCTCAGGGGGGGGGAATCCGTACTTGAGCCGTCTACAATTGTACCTCATGTGTAAGATCCCCAATCTACAGGGGACAATCGGGAATTTAGCAACACCCGACAAGAGTGTTGTAAACGCGGCCAAACAGTGAGTGTTCGAGATATCCTTCTAGAGATAACAGCGAGACCTCGACGTCCAAGCTTTATGTAGGTTGCACGGCGGTGGCTCCTTTCCTCGGTAGGTAAGGTGCTTCTTTCGCTGTTGCCCCTCGTGGCATCCTGGTAGCGCTTTCCACCCAAGCGACGCGGCGCAACTTCTCTTGTTCGACCTGCGGTATCGTCCGGCGATTCTCGCTGCCATGGAAAGGGAGGGCTGGACCCTTCTCGCGATAAAAAAAAGAAAAAATCAGCACGCACCGCAGAGGAAGGTGGGGCACGAAAATCAAATTAACAAGAAGAGAAAAGCCCCGGTGTTTACCCTCTCCTGTGTGACCCTGGATAGTTGTACTTGTACATACGAAAGGATACACTGCAAAGTGCATGTAGTACTCGACATACACTGAAACACGTGTGGTACACGTCTCACCTCGAAAAAAAATAGGACGAAAACAACAATTGCCCTCATACCCCGCACCCATTTAGCGCTCACGCCGGCACCTCCTTGTCGAAGAGTTAGATTATAGGGTTGAGACAGCCATGCCATTCTGCGCCAGCAGCGAAAACAGTCGAAGAAGGGTGGGCGAAAAAGAAGCCCCCGAAATCCGATCTAAACGATGCTCGAACCACTGCTGTGGTTCGAGCTCGCACAGGTGAGAGTGCACCGGCTCGCTGAGCGATCACAATCGGCCACGCTTACTTACACACAAGTAAACCACTTTGTTGCAGGCTCTGTGCGTCCGCCACCTTTGGCGAAGCAGGAAGGAACGATTGGCCGCCGGTGATCGATTACGTGGGAACAATGCCCCAACCTCTCGAGGTTAATGGTCTAAACAGCATCTCTAGCAATGCAACAACATGAGTGCGTCCCCCGACGCGTATCGCTTGCATGTGAGCTCACCTTCTTTTTTCTCTACCTGACTCTCTACTGTCGACCTACCCGGCGGAGGAGCAGATTTTACGTGCTGACGAACACGGGCGGGATCTTCTTCGCGAAAGGCTTTGCCGCCGAGTTCGACTCTCTCAAGCCGTTGCTCACGCTCACGGGTTCATCGGAGGTCTCTCTGGAAAGGGGAGGTTCAGGTAGGCGAGAGGAGGCCGCCCACGCTTTCCATGCCGTGCACATGTGCGTTTTTCTTTCGCGTAAGCAGTTCGGTATTGTCACGCTCGGGACGATGTTAAGACACCCAACCGGTTTCCGCGTGCGGCAGGATATCGCAGCGTTTGTTCTTGGGTCTCATCGGGGTAAGTGCACAACAGCGGTGTCGGCGTCGTCTTCGGCAGGCAAAGCGCCACCGTAGCCTGGGGTCGAGACAAACCAGTATGGGGTACGTAAAAGCTTACCTGCGAGGGGTAATCCTGCTGTCGCTGTTATTGCAATCCTCAGCCGACCGCCCTGCCTTCACCGCCGTTTCTTTGACACCCCCCCCCCCCGTGTGGCCCGCGCGCGCGCTTGTACTGTCGTGCTTGCCTCTTGATTTCTCTCTCTAGCCGACTCGGGGTACGTCATGAGGATAACCACGAGGGGGAACAAGCCACCGCCTCTGGAGCTAGAGGCGTCAAGGTAAAGCGAGCTTGACGCAGTCGCCGTGTGCACGTTGCACTAGCGTTCCCTGCGAGCCGGTTGAAATATATGTATGCCCAAAGCGATCAGTATTCAGGTAGTATGCTTGAATTACGTGCCAGCAAGCACGCAAGGTGGCGTCCTGAGCCGTGCCTACTTGCTTGCCTGCCTTTGAGTGAGCATGCGGCGTTAGAGACCTTCTGGGTGCAAACACGCATCCCGGGTTTTTTTCAACGTGGAACGGGCTTCGTGATACATGTGTTTCTCTGTCGGCCGGAGAACGCGTAGGACGCGTTGCGCTCGCGCGAAGTGTGTTGGCCTAGCTTATGAGCCGGTGCCGGCTGTCTGCTCCGAGGTGTGATTTTGTGATGTTACTAGATTTTCCGGGATGTAGGGCGCAATAACCTTCGAAACGAGGATTCTGCCGCTCCACTGGTGTCGATGTCCACAATGCTCCAGAGTCATCACGAAACTTATGGTTGTGTGCCCTTTTGATGCCGCAGTGAGCCCGAAACTGTGGCTTGGTCTCAAGTGGTTCACGACGTTATCGAGCTGGTCGGGACTATTAACGGAGACCAGTACGCGGCACAGCCTCGGCCGCTTGGAGGTGAGCGCAGGGACAAGTGGTGGTGGGGGGGGGGGGTCAGACACAAATATCCTCTCCGTTCAGCACGTTCACGCTCACGTATGGCCTCATCTCGGCGTGATATATTTTTTCGTTTGCTACTGCTGTACCCCGGTCGTTTCTTTTTGATCGGGTGTTGTTGTGCAGGGATGTGTCTAGGCCTCGCTTTCTTTGTTGAAGTACTCCCGGTCGTGTGTTGTGCACTCGATACTTACCAGCTTGTTGCTTGGGTGCGTTGGTAATGAGGTGTCGGTGACATGCCTAAACTTAAAGCTCATTGACACAGACTATGCCGCCGTTTTCGAGTTCGCGAGTCGTCATGCCTTTCTGTCTCACTTCTTCAGTCTGTCTCGTGTGGCGGGCGCGTTCACTCTGGCGGTTTTATTTGCGGGCGCCCTAGTCCCGTGCGATATTCTAATGAGCAAGCCTGTTTTGTGTGTTTTTTGCTGCGCCGAGTGTACCCAGCGTTTGATGTAGTTTATGGTCCTCCACGTGCTCACGTGTAGCACCCGCACTCGCGTACCCCCTCCCCATGGACACACCGGCAGGCTTGAGGGTTGGAGATGAGGGGTGGTACTTGGAACCGACCGGCCGCATGGCGCTCTACACGGTGAGGTTACCCAGCCGGTCGTTTTTGTTGCTGGTACAGCGAGGTGCACAGCAATTGCGATGTCGGCTCACCACGTATGCGCCTGTTTTGGGCACGTGGGTTGGTGCCCCTGTGTCCACGTCTCTCTCACCCTCCCTCTACCTGGCGTGTTTCGGTTTACCCTGAGTTGAATCGTGGTGTTTTGGCGTGGCGTATGTACTATTATACCGATCGAGGAATGTATGGCGTCCGAGTTGTGAAAGGGAATAGACGAAAATACATTCAAATTAGAGCCCTCGCACTTTGGACGATTCTGTCACGAAAGCGAATGTCAGTTTTGAAGGAAACACGGAACCTCGAGCCAGAACCAGTACAAGATGGTGGTTTTCATGGACGACTTATCTATGTTCACTACAGCACCAAATACTGCTGGATGTAAATTTGCGGTAGTTTGCAGTAGAGGGTCTGCGAATAGAATGTGCCCTGTGGATCTCGGGATCATCGTTTGAGACGGAGACTTGCGAGCGCGTTGTATCTAGTCAATGTACGGGTATGTGTCTCTGACACAACCTCGAGATCTTTCGCCGGAACAACCCAGAATTTATAGACCGGGACACCTTCGTGTTATCATCCGCCCCCCATCAAAAGGGTAAGGATCGATCACTTCACGGCAAGCGACAAACGAGTACCTACCCCCCCCCCCTCCCCCGCGTTCCATTTCGCCTCTCGCGCCGGGAAAAGCTCAACTCGCACCGAAGGTGGGCAGTACAAGACAGGAGGGAGTACGACGAGCCCACGGTGCTGAACTGGATCGCTGGCGACAGAGTGAGCAGGACCAGCAGCAGCGGCAGCAACAGCGCGAGGCTGGGCTACCCCTCGCAAAGCGGGGCTTCTGCTACTGGTTCTTCTGCGGACCAGGTACGTTGTTCCGCCGTACCGTATGTATTTGTACGGGTGGCGCCGCCGCGCCCCTCCGTGCTGTCCCCCGCTTGCTCCTGCTGCTCGCTCTCTCACGAGGTAGATGCAGCAAGGGACAAGTTTACGTCCCCCCTTTTTGCTTTGCTCCTTTCTTTTCCGTCGTTCAGGATCGTCCTATGATACCAACAAACGTTGTCGTCCATCCCGATCGTTTTCCTGTGTGTGTTGTGGGGCCTGAAACCTCGCACGTCGCCGCACCGGGGCGCGCGCTCTTGCCCCCTCCTGGCACTCTCGCGCGCATGAAGCAGGGCTCTGGGAGCCCAGATTATCCGGTCAACAGCGGCCGCGGGTCCCCAGACCCCGCGCCGCCCGCCCACCCGGCCGACTACCCGAGCCAACATTCCCACTCGCAGGTAGGTTGTTGAGCCGAAACGTGTTCGTGTTGACCAATCAAACGTTGTAGCAGTCGGGCAGGCACGTGAGACAAGCGCTTGATATGGGCCAGGCGTTTGTGTTGCTTCCCTAGGCCCGAACCCGCTTTTTTGTTGACATCCACTGTTTCGGGTATTATATTCTCTCCTCCGTCGGCTGCAAGGGGTGACCGACCACTGTTGGGGTTCGACCCCCTACGGCGCCGCCTGACCCTAATGCCGAGCTGGCTGACCACCAACTTGTACGATCCCTTTGTCAAACAGCCTGCCTGTTGCCCGTCATTGTCAATACGCCTCCCGGTTGCTCACTCAGCAGTCGATGCGGAGCACAAGCGCCACCATGTCGCATCTGGGCGGCGGCGGTGGGGGCGGCGGCGGCGGCGGCGGCGGCGGTGGCACCTGGGCGACACACGCCCCCCCCGCCGGCCCGAACTCCTCGTTTGCCCACGGCGGGGGCGGCGGCAGCAGAAGCCCAGAAGCCGGCGGTACCGTAGTAGGTGGCGTGTTGGTCAGGGGCGGTAGAGGTGGTGGCGGAGACGGCGGCGGCGGGGGGGGAGGGTCCGCGGATGCGATTCTGGTGGGCCCCCTCCCCGTCCTCCCGTCCGTCTTTGTCGTCGGGAAAGGGGAAGGTAACAGTTTCGGCGACGAAGCGGATAGCCTCGTGCTCAGGAGGCCTTCGACGAGTTGTTCCGCGAACGGCGGCGGCGGCGGCGCAGACGGCGGGCGGGGGCGAAGAGAGGAGCAGGCAGGGGAAGAGGTGGTGGCGGTAACAGCCAACAACAACTCGCACGGGCGATTGGGGCGTGTGGGTCGGTGGAGGGGCGGCGGCCGGGGGGCGGGGGCGACGGCGGCGGCACCGGAGCGGAGACAATCGGGAGGGGACTCGGGTAGACGGCCCCTCGAATTGTCACCGGGGATGGAAGTTTTGCAGTCGTGGCTTCAACGTTCTTGACGACCGCCTTCTTGGGGGTCCCGACTATGGGCGAGTAACAAGCGTGTGAGCTTGATTTTGCGTTTCGCGAAGTTTAGGTGTGTGTGTGTGTTTTACATGTGTCATGTGTTATAGCGTGTGAAGTGTTCCTGTCGTCGTCCTTTTCTATAGCTCTCCTCTTTTGATTGGCTGCCGTCAATGGGGTAGCTGCGGTGGTAGCTCGCAGCAGCAGCAGTAGTTTAAGTTGATCTTCGGCCTGCCGTTATGTTCTTTATAAGCATACTGGTGGCCGTGCTTTAGCCATTCTCTCGGGCAGGGCGATTTTTCTTTTCGGGATATCCCGGCGTGTTCTCCTGCCCGCATGCAAACCCGGTTATGCATGCAAAACATTTTTTTTGTGTGTACATGGATTTTCTAAGGTGTTCGGTTTGTGTGTGTGCCGAGGCGAATGCACGAAACAACGAGATCAAAAGAAATGCCTGTGATCCTCAACCTTCAGCGTGAATGAAGGATGCAGACGCTACAACTACGTTCGACACGTACGGAGATTCAGTGGCGCGGGCTGGCGGGAAAAGCAAGCGTTCGAGTTTGTAACAATCAGCTGGGCTCTGAGATTTTGTAACAAGTTCCTCGTCCCGGTCATAGAAAAAGAGAAGGACGTCTGGCGGTTCGCCCACGGTGGTGGCTCCAGATAGACGAAACGCAACTTAATTCATTTTCGGGGAAGACGTGTAAATTTCCAATGGTTCTAACGGAGGCTCAACTGGAGCCGTGGTGTGACGTCACGTGCCCGCTTCTCACAAAAACACAGGGGGGCGGGAAACCTTAAGATCGACACATCTTAAGCCGCGGGCGACAACCTCGCGAAGGACTCGACCATGCCACACGCATGAACTCACACAAGGACCCGCACGGCAATCAACACCCGACAACAACGGCGCCGTTGTAAAGGTCTCGTTGACCGCAGTAGGCATCTTCGAGATCCCATCCGCTGCGCGGAAGACGCGAGCCTACGGCACAAGGCCACCTGTCGACCAAGTAACCGTCCGTACGCTGGATATTCCACCGCACCCACAACACCTCCGTGCTGCTGTGCTGCCAACAAAAGGCCGCTCAAAGGAAACATCACCCCTTGAAGGTAAGTCTGCTTTTTCAGCTGACTGAGAGCGTACCCGGCGATTGGACGTTCCGAAGCACGTGTGACAGCAGCAGCTGTGATCCGCGTTTCCAGAACATTTCTCGCCAACATACGACACCTTGTGTATGTATGCTCCTCAAAAAACGCCGATGTGTGCTACGAAAAAAACATCAGCTGTCGCCGCTCGAAACCTGTCTATTTTCGTCCGAAAAACGAGGAGATCGAGCCAGACCCGTGCTGCGATTTCGAGCCCCCTCCTCTCCCACGTCGCATCCCCCCCCTACCCGACCCCCTCCCGCGCCGCTGCTGGGGAGCCCCGCCCCTGCTCCCGCGTCCTCCTCCGCCTCTATCTGCGGAACTACCGCCCGCCGTAGCCTTCCCTGCCGGAGAAAAGCGGAGTTGAAGCTGTCCCGTGCTGGCCGCTCCCTGACCTCCCTGCAAAATTCGAAGCCCGGCGCCGGGATTTCCGAAAGAGTATGGGGGGGGGGGGGGGTGTACTCTTACGATTTGCATGCCTTAGCGGTTAGACCATTGACCACGCGTCCTCGAGAGGACGGAGCATTGTTCCCACAGGACCGATCACCGATGGCCAATGGTTCCTCCTACTTTGCCAAAGGTGGCTCAAAAATGTCTTCCCTAGTCAATCAAAACGGTAGGCGGTGTGTGCAATATGCTAGGGCCTGGATATGGTCCGGAACGACCGTGTTTTTATCCATGCAGTCGCCGCGAGAGGATGATACGCGGTTATGGGCGGGAGAGCAAGCAGCAAGCACGAAAACGAGCGAAAGAAAGGCAAACAAGAAGTCGCGCACAAGACACCAGAGCGGGGAGGGTACTCAAGTCCTGTTTTGCATGCCCCAGTTGTTAGACCATTGACCACGCATCCTCGAGAGGACGGAGCATCGTTCCCACAGGACACAGGGGGGGTATCGCATAGCTCCATGGCAGTCAAGGATGCGGAACCCACCCACCAACGCGCACGCGCACCGCACCTGCTGCATCCAGATCTCCCTCTGTATATCCGGAGGAAGCTCCGCCAGAACCGCCGGGTCGACCTCTCCAAAAACGCCCGAAGACCCTCCCCTGCCGAACAACGGGCGATGCCCGCTGCTGGCTTCCGCACCGCCACCACCATCCCCGTGAAAGCGCTCGTCGCCGATCCCGTCCGCGGCATCGGCCGCATGGGCGGCGGCGGCGGCGGCGGCGGTGGCGGGAGACAACCCCAACCGTTCCTCTAGCCCCGCTCGCCCGACGACCGTGTCGTGCCGGCCTTCTTTGACCCCCGCCGGGTCTCCCTCTCTTCCCGCCATCCTGGCATCGACGGAGCGGGGCGCTGCTGCTGCTGCTGCTGCTTCCTCTTCGCGGCAACGCTTTCCTTGCCCCTCGCAGATCTGCGCGGTGTTGATCTCCCGAGGTGCGACGACGTGTAGCGGGACAGCGTCGTCGTCGCCCTCCTTTCGATATCCCTCGTCGTCCTCCCTCTCCCGGCCTCGATCTCGTCGGTACTGCCCTTCGCGCAGTGCCGGCGCATGATCCCCGCCGCCTTCCCCCCCCTCTCTTCGCCTTTCGTCCTCCGCCGCGGACATTTCCCAGAAGTCTACGCTGGACGACCCACCATCCGTCGCGGCGCGGTCGCCTTCACCACCACCATCTACATCCCGCCCGGCACGCAAAGCGCCGTCTGCTCCCCCCGCCTCGGCGGCATCCTCCTCCGGCGGTCGTGGTCGTTTACAACCCCCCGCCGCTCGAGCCTCCTCCTCCACTGCTACCGCCGCCGTCGCTTTAGGAAACCCCAACGCGTTGCCCGTCGGGCGGGCTCGTCCTGCCTCGTCGACCCCGCATCGCCGGCCCCTGCCTGCATCCGTGGCACGAGGGTACCAAGCCGATGAGGATAGATTTGCGGTGCCCCCGCGACGTGGAACTTCTTCTGAGGAGCTGGGTTCGAGAGCCGCGGCGGCTGGGGCGGCGCCGAAGAAGGACTGGATGCTCCGGGTGTCCTTGCGGGAGTCCGCGAAGCCGTGGGCGGAAACGCCAAGCATCGTGAGTCTCGGGGCCTGCTTCATCATTAAAAGGTATCATCAAGCGTAATAGCACTAAATAGTTCAGCGACCATTGAGAGGGTTTGGGGAAATTGAAGGGGAAAAGGAAAAAAAGCGTTCAACTCGACGACAGACCCTCGGACACTTGCTGCACACTGCTGCGGAGGATTTCCTGAATCCCGGGCAGTAGCCCCCTCGTAATCCATTCACCCACCCATCGCCCGACCCCCGAAGTCAAATCGTGTTAAAGCCCGACTCGCCTCGACTGAATAGGCTCTGACCATCTTCATGCAAGCCTCAACAACATGTCGAAGCTCCGGCTTCACCATGCGGCAGCAGCGCGAGACTCCCTTTGGGCGCCCCTTCTATTCAGGCGGGCAAGCGGGGCAGAGAGTGCCAAGGGACGCAAGAAAGTCGGACGCCAGAAACGGAACATTCAGTAGCATGTGGCGGGAGGAAACAAGCGCGGCGCGATAGAAAACGGGTGCCAATCTTCTACTCCGATGCATAGCTACACGGCAAGTGGTCGGGTGACGGTGAGAGTCGGATCAAGCGTGCTCTGGGAAAATCTAGACCTGAAAACACGCACGCACAGCAATCTCAAGCTCCTCGTTTGTCCACAAGAAAATATAGTGCCGGTGAAATCGGCTGGGTCGAACCGGCATGATACCGGGACCCCTTCTGTAAGGCCAGGGGATTTTCAGCCCCTGGGTGCGTGACGCACGAGGAGCGACAAGTACATACCTGTTGAAGTGCAGCGAAGCTGACGGTAAGCTTGCTGGGCGTCTGCCCCTCACCCTCCTGCTGCTCGACGAGTCGCGAGATCAGCTCCTTCGATAGCTCCGACAGCCACCGCTCAATCTCGGAGAAGGATCTGGTGTCACAAACATAAATACAATAAAAAACTTTTTTACCTGTGGATAGAGATGTGAAAAAAAAAAGAGGAAACAAAAACGGTCCCTGCTCGGAATACCACCGAATTTGTTGTGTGGAAACGTGGACACCCAAACATCAGCCGGCTTTGATCGCCAGATGCAAGAACCCTCGTCTCGTGCTCGGTCAGCAGCAGCAAAGCGTTTCGTGCTCTACACACTTGGTTTGACGATCAGCAAGCAGCATGGACCTCGAAGCGGTCATGTCATATTGCCTCACGTCAGCTTGGTCTTCCCAGGAAACGTCTTGGAGCAGCCGACGCTCTTGGGGGCCGACCGCGCATTCACGGGGTCCCTGCAGATGGCGTTCGACTTCTCCCACGCCCTCCAGCCCTCCTCGTCTCCCAGGACTCGCTGGAGCTCGGCAGCGCCGACGGCGGCCACTTCTCCTGACCACGCCAGCGACACCGACACAAGCGTCGTCGTAACACAGCCAAGGAGAGTGGTTGTGGGTTATGAGCGGTATCGCATGCCATTCGGAGTAGCACATCAGAGTATGGCGCTGTTGGTCTCTTGACCTTCATACTCGGTGGCCGACAGCAGCCACATCCCGGGAGGCGACAAAGGGTGTATTGTAGTGAATCTGCACCGCCTCGACTGGGCAGGGTGTACGCTGGGGAAAAGCAATGAGCTGGCCCACCGTTCTACATCGGTAGACGGCTTGCGCTTGTTGCGAGAAAGACGAAACGCGCACTTCGGAGAAGAACACTCTTCCCCCAACCACCGACACAAGACACCGCGACGCCTCACCCGCAGTCGAAACCCCGAGTTTTTCCATCATCTTCACCCCGAACTTTCCGCCCCAGCCCCTGACCCTCTCCACAGGCAGCGTGTGAAACACGACCTCCACCTTGTCCAGAGGTAGCACGGTCTGGGCGTTTGGCTTGTGCATGTTGCTGCACAGCTTGGCCAGGAGCTTGTTGTGGGCCACTCCTTCGGCACGCCAGAGTGAAGAAGCGAGAGCACAAAAAAGTCAGCCGTAGTGAGCAGAGGAGCACAACTCGCATGTGATTGCGCGCACGCGCGCGCGAGGGAGAGAGGGAGAGGGAGAGCTGCCCCTCGGCACTCTCGCTGGCGTTAGACGATTAGTACTGTAGGACAGAGGTGGGGCATCGGTGTTACCAAGCCAGGTACCTTCCAAATTACGCTTTTCTTAAGTCTACGAGACACCGCCGTGCTACTCCTGCAGAGCCGTACTTGCCACAAGCAGCGCAAGAGGAGGCGACAACTCCAGCTGTGTGGTAAAACTGTCACTACCGTCGCCCTTTGCCATCCCCCCCTCCCATATGGTGATCAATTCTGAGGGAACAATGCTCCGTCCTCTCAAGGACGCGTGGTCACTAGCCTAACAACTAAGGCATGCTAAACATGAGTACCCCCCCCCCGCCCCCCCTGCCGGTGTTTGCCATCGGGGTTTGGGTTTTCGTCGCTTGGCAACGACGTTGTAAAACAAGCCCCCCACTCGGTGTTTGCCATCGGGATTGGGTTTTCGTCGCTTGGCAACGACGTTGTAAAACAAGCCAATTCACTTCGTGAACTCGGCAACCAGGTTACCGTTTGTTTTTTTTTTACCTCTGTTTTTTTTTTTGGCGGTAACCATAATGGTAGTCGAGTAGATCATGTTGTGCGGGGTCGAGAAACCTCACTCCGCGCAACGGGGGATGATCGCACCACGTTGTGTTAAAATGGTCAAGCACCCTCGAGGCAGTTACACAGTGCTTACAACTGTCTCTGGAAGTGAAAGCACCAGAAAATAAATTAATTCATACGCAGCTGTCATTCGTACGCAAGGAAGTAAGCACAAGATGCCGAACACCCTTAGCAGGATGCAGCTCACCCTTCATGCGACTCGCCAAATACCTCACGGTGCTTCGCGCTTGGCGATGCGAGCGCCTGGTCCGGTGAGAACCCGGCGTGCTCCGTCCCGGCTTTGTAGGGATGCGAGGTCAATGGTCAAACGACTACGGCATGCACGACTATGAGTACACCCCCCCCCCCCCCCCCCCCCCCCCCCAAAAAAAAAACCTACCCCCAGCCCCCGTCAGCCCTAATTT